TGGAAACAGCAGATGAGATCAAGATTTGACTGACAGTGGGTCACTTTTAACAATGTGAAGATATTTGGGCCCAGAATTCTTTGCACAGTTGCTCATCATGTTTAGTCTAGGATGTACACACAACCTTGGCCATTAAAACCAGTTCTAATTCCAATTTATTTAAGATTTATTGATTTATTTCCACATTTAAGGTCAAAGTAAAACCTTAAAGCAACTGTTTGAGGTCAAGTTATAGCAACTCAATCAGAATTTTCTACAGATTTCTACTAGATGTAATCAATAAACAGTTTTTTGGGGAATCTTACAGCTTTAGAATGACCTTTCCAGTCTGATAGGTGTCACTTTTTTTCTTATCTACTCTTCAATTTCTTACTTTTACTTTTGTTTTGTTTTCGAGATCTTTCAGCCTACTTCTTGTTGTCAGACAAGATCTAGTTAGGTGATATCTTGAGTCAGGTAACAAAACGACCTTAATGAAATTGAAATAAAGTCAGTAAAATGTGACTGATCACAAGTAGGGCTGAATTAATTAATCAGATTAATCAATTTTTGAAATAATCAACTAATTTTCGGGATTGATTAATCGTTAACTGGAGTGTAGAGGCTGTAAAATGTGCCTTTAGCAAAAGTTGCTCTGTCTGATATGTTTAGATGTGCAGAAATTATACCAAAATTATATATAAAAAAAAAAAAAATGTGTAACTATTTTCCATTGCAGATAAAAACATTTTTTGTCTGCCAGTATGATCTATCCAGCACTCTTTCAGTGGAAAAGCTTTATTTTCAGTTGGATTAATTTCACAAAACGTCTTTCAGAACCGATTATTAATCAATTAATAGAAAGAATAATTGACAGATGAACTGATCATTAGTTGCAGCCCTAATCACAAGTGATTCATGATTTTACATCCTTACCTTCTCTGTTGGTGTAATCAGATAAATGGCCTCCAGGCTGGGAAGTGGCTCTCGCCGCTTGTTTATGTCCTCCACAACTTTAAATACAGAGACAGACACATGATCATATGCATTTAACAAAAGGAAGCCTCAAAGAGCAGAGCTAAGTTTGACTTTTCTCTTACTGGTAATGCCCTCCGTCATGATGTCTGTCATCTTGCAACAGGAAGACAACATCCTCATGCTCAGCTGGTCCACAATCAGAGCCTGTAGACAGAGGGCAAAGGTCAGTTAAGTGCAAATAATCTCTATTGCTCACATTATCCTGCAGGTAGGGTTAGGTCAGCTGCCCTGTTAAGAACAGAAATGTCTCTTCTTTAGTTGTGGAATTAAAATATGTTAATCTTATTAAATGTGTGACACCATAGACATCAGGGATTTTTATTTTATTTTTTTTTTGCATTTGACTAAATTTTACACAAATGTTTAGTTGAAAGTGTTTACATTCATGCAACTGTTCTGTTACAGCTTTTTATTTTTTAACCTTTATTCGCTAACAGGTTTGTTTTACCGGTCCAATTATACAGGATAAATTGCACATGAAATAAAAAATGTCTGAAAACTTGAGCCCTGAAATTTGAACAGGGCTCTAAAAAAATTTTATTATATCCAGATTTTCAAAACTGGGAGAGTAAAATTCTTTTTTATCTTTTATAATACTATCTAAAAGAAAACCAATGATAAATATGTTGTTTTTTTATATTAAACCAATAAAAGAAAAAGCTTAAGTCCATGAAAGGTGTTGGCACCACAAATAAATCCAGATGAAATCTATCTTTGAAACTGATTATATCAATGGAGTTTCCATCTTTTTATGTAAGGGTGAAAACATTGAACTCACCTTCCATTCTCCCTTCTTCTTCACCTTCTTGATAACATCGTTCATAATCTCTGTTAAAAAAAAAGGAGATAAAATGGATCCTTTAATCAGGGTTGAATAGCAGATATGTTTCTTTTAAGTATACAAACAAGATGTAGATGATATTTTCAAATAGAATCAGATAATCCCATTCTGTCTGATATTAAAGATTTTATTTGATTATATTTAGGGCTGAAACAATTCATCGAATTAATGGTGATTAACCAATTATTGAAATAACCTTCAACTAATTTAGTAATCGTTTAATCGTTAACTTGAGTGCAGAGACCGTAAAATATGCCTTTAGCTGACGGAGCGACCCAGTTAGAGCAGCAATTATATGAGTAAATAGTTGAAAAAAATATAAACATTTTGCATTCAAGATGAAAAAAAAATGTCTGTCAATATGCTCTATCCAGAAATCCTCAAGTGGAAAAGTTTTAGTTTCTCCTGGTTTAATTTTGTAAAAATTCTTCTTTAAGATTTTTCTATTATTTTTTGAAAAAATAATCAACAGATTAATTGATTATCTAAATAATCATTAGTTGCAGCCTCATTATATTACAGTTACAGATAAATGCCCAAATGTAGAGAAATATCTATGAAGGATGACTGTTTGGAAGAATTTCAACTGAACTGATCATTTCGGTCTTGTGAGTTTTCATCAGCGGTATCCTGTCCTGTCAGAGAAACATTAAACTAAATTCACCTGTTTCATAAATAAGTATCGTAATTGTGTGGTAATGAGATCAGTAAAACTTTAATGTCGAACTATCTTTGTTATTTTGAGTTATTCAAACCATTATAATAACAAAACCATCTCATCAACGCTAAATTTATAGATTTTACAGAACAAATCACTTGGGGATAAAATATTTATCCACGTTTGTAAAATTAACCCTATTATTTTAAAATGTTGAAATATTTAAATCACTGTGATGACAAAACCCAGCTGTATCTTGATCTTATATCAATAAGAAAAAAAGATCCACATTATCTTAAAACAAGTTACAGATTTAAACAAAGAGCATGAAAAGATTGAAGTAATGATTTTAAGAGTTTAAACTCCTATAAGGGTTAAATGTTCCCCTTTATCTTAAGATATTGAGATTGACCACAGGATCAGAAAACAAAATAAAAGTTTTTTATTAAACCAGGATTATGATAAATTCATCTTTTGCATCTAAAGTAGATCAGGAATTTTATCAGAACAAAAAGTATGTCTATAAGTATTTAGATATTAAATCTACTAAAGCAAAATGACCCACGTATAAGTTTTAATGACTGAAATATCTGAAATATTAGGATACTCAGATATTGGTGGGCAATAACCTTTTTAAAAACTCCCTATTCTTGAGATACGTATTTTTAAACAGCTACCATAGTGAAAAAATATCCTATATATTAAGATATGACATATTTTAAAACAGAATACTTAAACCAGCATCGTTACAGAATGAACACTGTTATCTTTAGATGATATTTAAACCAATTTAACGGCCAAAAAAAGCTCTAATATTTTAAGACAAAATATTTTAAACCCTCATTATGTTATATTTAAAGTTATATATCCAATCTTAAAAACCTTTCATCTGTAGAATCAAAGATTAGGGTCATGGTAAAGAGGCTTTGAGACTTCAGATTTGGAGTTTGTACTAAAGATAAAGAGTTTTCTATGATTAAACACCTTTTGTTTTTGTCTCTTTTTTTGGAAAAACCATTAATTTTGAAATCTGTCAGGCGTTTTAATAATGATAGACTTGGTTGTAGATCTTCTATCTTTGATCTATATCCTCAAAGAATGAGTTCTGGCATCTCAACAAAATCAAGTAGCCAAAACAATATCATCACATAATAAACTCCAATATCTTCATATAATGAGATCTTTTTCCACAGTATCATGAGCAAACAAATGTTAATATTGTAAAAAAGAAAATTAATCACATTTAAAACACCATTATAGCAAAACCGTTTTATTTGTGTTGATTTTTTTAAAATGAAAATTAAATGTGAGAATGAGGTATTCAAAGTTATCTTCAGTTAACTGGATATACCAAGAGATTGAAATTATTACTGCAACATTGAGGCCTATATTTTTATGACTTTTAAAACACTAGTTTAACACTTTTTTTTAGATGACATACTTATGACCTACTTTAAATAAAAATCTACACAAAATAAGCTGTTATCTAAAAAAACGTAATGTTTAAAAACCATTGATATATGTTTTATTTTAAGCTGACATAGTCACCAGTTTTATACAAAGCCAATAGTTTTCCTAAAACATGAATGTAAGCAGCATTAATCTTGAGATAAATAAATAATTCAACTTTACTTATACTTCAATAATTATAAGATTACCATAACATAATGGAGACTATTTAACCTTTTCAACAATAACATTTCCTCCCTTTGCTACATTTAAATCAGATATTTCAGCTTTTATGACAAACTAAGCTGTGATATACTGAAATATCAGGACACATTTAACTAGTCATGGCTAAAGATGTTTTATCTATAATCTGAAAGGGCTAGTTAACAAGTTTGCTTTTGTTTTATTAGACATAGACGTATAATTATTAAAAATTCTGTATCTATGATTTAAAATCCCCGAAACACTACACAGTTCCTTATTAAAAATACATGGGACAATCATATAGCGGTAGTTTAAGATTAAAAACCATCAAAGTAAAAGTTTAAAAAATAAATGTACTCTGTATGAGATTATTCTAAAGCGTCATGACATCCAAAAATGAATAATAGAAATCAGATGCGATGTAATAAAAAGCTCAATTCCTCATTACAAATAATGGTGTTCTAACAATAGTCCTGTCTTTATTAGAGATTAACCAATCAGATGACCAGATGTTAAAACCAGACAATTTTTTTTTATCAGTTCTAATCAGGCAGAGATGTGAAAAATACGGAGAAATCTAAACATTTATAATTCTGACAATAACTCTCACCACTATAGGCCTTTCAAACACTAACTAAAAACATCTGCTTCAATGCATTTGTTTAAGTTTAATCAAATCAGATACCTTTAGGAATCTCTGCCTGGAAGGATTAGCTAGGATAGCTTTATAATCCCTTAATTTTATTTTAGAATTAAAAGTCTTACCTCTGTCTAATACTGAGCAAAAATTTCTCTCATGTTTTTTGGTTCTTAATGAACCTAAAACATGGGAGAAGTTGAAAGCAAAAGACTAAATAAGCCAATATTTCTTGGGATGGGATAAAGATACTGCCGTAACCGTAGGTACCCGAACTAGTTGGTATAAGTATTTCCTGTTTCACCAAAAACGGGGCATGAAATGGACATTTTCCATCGCAAGCATGCAAAGGGGATTAAAGCCCGTCTGCGGCACAGCCACCACATGACTACAATGTTTATGCCTCAGTGCTGATATTGGCCTGATCGGTGTCTCCTCCATCTGCCAGCTACATCAGGTTAAATCCATCCACAGTCAATGACTGCTGAACATCATGTTAGATCATTGCAAACTGTTAAGCTTTCAATCTGGCTGGAACCTGAGGTCACACAGACCCTGGTGGATTATCGCAGATTAAAATGAGCTCAAATAAAACAGATTACGGAGAGCACATGAAAAGAGAAATACGGCTGCTGAGCGGAGGACCTCCGATTTAAATCCAGTAAAAGTCCCGTTTTCAGAAACTGGCAATTGGTTGGTTGTTTCAAAAAAAAAAAGGGAAAGTGAAACTTACTCTACGTATAAAATAACTAAAAAGAAGAACATTTAGACAAAAGCATGAAAAAATAAAATAATGGTTGAATAGGAGAAACATTTAAAAGCTAAAACCCAATTAGAGTGTATGTAGATTTTAAGACACACTTTTTTTAAAACTGTATGTATGAATTAATTTCCATAAACTATAATAATAATGTTGTATTACAGCCTGCTGTAGCATAACATTAAGACTGCTGCTCTAATATTTGTCCTGCAGTTGGTCTTGATCCGCAAAGGAAGGCTGACATCCAAGTAGTTTCATGGAAAGTTTGATGGAAGGAAAAAATGTGATAGGAAAGGTCCACATTTGACATGAATATGTTCAGCCTTTTGGAGGATTGTGAATTTAAGATAATTTGAGAAATTCAGTTAAATTTACAAAATGTGCCCTCTGGCTAAAGTCTGTGCTTTATGAGACCAAATAAATTTATCAGGACAGCTGCTGCGTTTCTTATGTGAACCCACTCCTGAACCAGAAAAATCAAATGTCTTTCACTACGGTTAAAGTGAAAGATATTTAAGATAAAAGTAAAGTTTGCATTTAATTTGTTAATCAATGTCCCATTTCCAGTAGTGATGTTTTAAAATGCCATGTAATCTAACCCCGTTGGTCCACCGCGTTTTATCTTGTCCAAAGTTAGATCAGCCATCATCCAGGAAATCATGGAGCTTCTCTGCTAGCAGAGAGGCTTTAGAAAGGTGCAGATTTCGCTTTATAGCCTTTTTGGAACCTTAATACTTAAAACATCTGACCTGCACTTGACCTCAACTTCCTTAGAGATCGATTTATTGTTGTTAGGAAGAAGATGGGAAGCAGCGTATCCAACAAAGACAAGCTGTACTTCCTTAACTCCTCCTTTGTCCTTCCTTTCTGCCCCTCAGATTAACCTGATCTGACCTCCAGTAGGATAGAAGACTGAAGCAGTGGTGAGAACCTAGGAACCCAGGTCTTTTTTTCCAAATGCTATCTAAGACACAAAATGCCATCTTAATCCTTTACAAGTGAAACAAATGTAAAATGCTATGTATTACTGTGTTTTACTACAACTCTTACTGCTAACTGCCGCTAAATGATGGAAGGAAATGAGCTAAAGCAGCTTCACTTTCATTCTTAAAAGTCCACTTGAATGTCAGCCAGCAGAAAGAAACAAACAAAAGATATGAATAGAAAACAATGAATTTTTTTCCTTTTTCCTCTGCCTCAGCTCATCCATTTCCTCTTCCTCTGTGCCTCTATTAAATCATCTAATGTCATCTCCAGTAACTGAGCTGGTATAACTGGT